AAGAGTGAAAAAAAAAAAAAAACACTGATCCGGCTCAAACCCCCCCTTAAAAAATGCACATAACGAGGTGCAAGGCAGTCCAAAGAAATTCAACGAGAACAAAGTAGAGCCTCGCTGGCAAAGAGAATTAAATCAAACACCAGAGTGGGATCTTCACCAAATCCAAGTTTCATGGAAGTCCGTTGAGTCGTATTAAAATGTATTTAATGACTTGAAAATGTTTATTATCAGAGTTAATGTATCAATGAGGTTGAAACTGTGGAAGAAACAGAACGAAGTGAATTGATTATTTCCTAACTTGAATATTTATTTTGGAATAAATGACACTGAAAAGGGGGAAATTGCTTGTTGTGACAAATGAATACGACAAAAAGGGATTTTTAAAAATAGAAAAAGCAAAGCGGATTAGGATGTTTAGAATGAGGATTAGTGTGGTTGGTGTCTTTTTGTTCGTTTCTCTGTCTCTCACTGATTCTCCGCTGTGATAATTATATCTCACTGTGTTGTGTTGCTCTGCAGGTGCTGCGTTATTTTGACTACGTTTTCACAGGCGTCTTCACGTTCGAAATGTTGATCAAGGTAACAAAGTATCACTGAGTGTGGTTTTTGTGTGTGTTTGTGCTGTGTCCGTGCTCTGATGTGTGTGTGTGTGTGTGTGTGTGTAGTTGCGTTGTACTAAGCGTGCTCCCTGTTTTCCAGATGGTGGTGCTCGGCCTGTTTCTCCACCAGGGCTCCTACTTCCGCGATTTATGGAACATTCTGGACTTTATAGTGGTTAGTGGTGCTCTGGTGGCCTTCGCCTTCACGTAAGTGCCCCTCCCTCCCTCCTGACCCTTCACCCTCCTCTTCATCATCTCCACCACACACACACACACACACATTTCTCCATCCACAGAAAGACCCTCGTCACCCAGCCTCGTGCGTCCGATACAACGCTGATGTTTCTTCCGTTTTCTCCGCTAACTTCAGAAATCATCACTTCCTGTAATCTGTCTTTTCTTTTTTTGTAAACTTCCTCCACCTCCTCTCTATGCTCCGGTCTCGCTTCCTTCTCTCCCTTCGTTATTGTCTTCTCTCCAGGGTTTGACATCTTCTCCTCACTTCTCTCCTCCCAGCATTCATGCCTTTCCTCCATCTTCGTCCCTTCTCTTCCTCATCGGTCATAATCGCGTGGCATTGTATCAGCAGGTCTTTCTCCACGTTTCATCTCCACGTCATCTGGACAAACCACCCGAGACCTTTTAAATCCAACCCTGCATTCTCCTCACCTGTGAGATCTACCCGTCTCTGAGCTACACTCTAAAAATGAAACAGGCTCATTTTGACTCCGTCTGAAAAACTACACCTGCACACGTCTAACTAATTGGAACGCATTTCTTCAGCGAGGACCCTCAAAGTCCTGAAACAAGTTTTCAGAGTGTAGTCACAGCGTTACACCCACCTTCACCCTCCACAAACCTCAAACCACCTCAACAACCATCTCAGACGTGATTCCCCTTTACTGTCTGATCTAATTAAAGCACCTCCTGCTCCTTTTCTACATGTTCTCCTCCCGATCTTCCTTGCTCCTGTCCCCTTGTGTCAATCCATGCCGCTCTGATATTTCCACCAACCAGGCCGTGAGTCATCCCTTCCTGTTTTCTTGCATCTAAAGCCCCCGACTCTGATTCCCCAAACCTTTGCTTATCAACCCCCCCCCCAGTCCCAGGTCCTTTACAGCTCTGGTACCTGCTGATGCCTTCACGTCCTTCCAGATAACTCTAAACCTCCTCCTCTCACATCATTACGACATTTTACACCTCTTTCAAACTTCCCATTACAACCACCTTACTCCACCCAACATACAGCAGATAGAGTAAGACAACCTTTCAGTCAAAACCAGAAACGTTAACGTTTTGCTCCAGGAAGAGTCGAAGGAATCTGCTCAAGATTTCGTCAGAAGTCCCTGAACTTCTACGTCTCTGCACGTTCTCGCTGTATGTTGGGAAAAGTTTCAGCCATTACTCTCATGCTTGCCGGTACCTTCACTCCCTTAACCCCCCGCCCACCCCCGTAGTCAGCCCCCTCTCGTTCTCCAACTCCACCACTTCCGCCCCCACCTCAGCCATTCAAGCAAAACCACTCCCTCCTGTGAAAAACCATCCTCCTGCCCTCCTCATCCTCCGAGGTCCCCAGACAGTCGGTCCGTGGGGGTGAGGGCGCCCCAGACACCTTTAACCCTTTAAGTGCCCAGGCTATCCGTCCGCCACAGGGAGGAGCACCGCCAGGGCGCATCGGCTCTCCTCACCCCCCGCCCTCGTCTCTCTTTTTACTCACTCACAAGAAACACACACACACACACACACCCATCTGCCGCTCTGGCAAATTCAAAGTACCCGGAGGCACAGGTATTTAACTCTCCTTCCTCTGCACGACCCGGGGAAAACAGAGTGAGCGTGGGAGGGAAGGAGGGAGGCATGCTGGGTGAGGGTGTGGTGGGTGGAATGATTTGTTATAAAGGTAGTCTACAGGTAAATACATATGGATCAAATATGTATGATTACTAAGATATATGCACCCAGGTAGGACTGAGTGAGTGAGAACGAAACAAGACGCTTGTGTGCATCCTCCTCAGCTCAGTGGATGATCAGTGCATGTTTGTGGCTGCATGAACCTGAGCACAACCTGTGATGCAGCGGACGGCATCACTCAGAGCTGTGTTCACGATGTTCAGAGAAACAGACAATGAATGTGCTCAGATCCACAGCGAAGCATCTCACGTCCTGTCCACACTAATGCGGATATTTATCAAGACCAACTACTCCCTCTGCACTGGAGCCTCTCGTCCACATGCAAGCGGTTCAAGTTTTACTACAACGAGATTTCCAACGTGCAGAACAACAATGGCGAGTATGCACTGGCCTCTCTATGTTGAGTTAGCAATACTTGGTCTTATTACCAGTTTGCAGCTAAATTGAATCATTGCTCCACTAATCTCTACAAACAGATTCTCTATGTGAATTTGCAGAATCTGTAGCGAGCGTCTGATTTCTGTTTCTACATTGACCAACAATCTTTAATTTATCTGTATTCATATGCAGATAGCTGCTAAAATAGCTGAAAGGTCATCTGCACCTAAATCTCTAGTGTTTTGTGTAAAGAAACGTTAGATTTGTGGGTCATTGTCAGAACTAGATATCCACTGTCTACACCAGATTATACCCAAATTATTTCCTCAGATGCTGATTCATCATCAGAGATTCATTCACATGCGTCCTCCTCGCCCAATATTACACAGACCACAGCGGAGAGTGGCCCGACACGCTTTGTTTGAGCGTTTGTAGTAGTTTTTGTGTTCCTGTCTGGACGGAGATATTTGGTGTAACAGAGGAGAAAAGATATCCGGTCCCCAAAAAATATCCGCAGTAGTGTAGACAAGGCATTGGACCCTGTTAAAAACTGGTAATTACATGTTTGAACCAACGCACCTGAATGACTTAAGATCGGATCAATCAGACGATATTCAGAGGTCACGGGTTCACAGAAAGATCAACAATGAGACAACTCAAATTTTAAAAAGGTAAAGAGAGTGAATTTCACTTTGTCGGAAACTTCTAAGAATCAGAATCAATTCCACCAGAGTGAAACATCACTTCATCAGAAGATAGAAAAGCAGCATATAGAGAAGTTATTAAATTGTGCCATGTGGCTGATAAGTTTATTACAGGAAATTGAGAATCACTCCACCGCTGCACCCCCCTCAGCATGACCCCCCCCGTCGACAAGAGGGTGCCTCCTCCCCTCTACCGCTGACCTCCCCCTCCACTTCTCGCCATCTTTAAGGTTCTTCTCCCCCTTCCCTCATCCTCTCACTTCTGTGATCGTCCCTGTTTCAAGGCGATACCCTCTTCGCCTCCTTCTCTCCACCCTTGTTCCCTCGACCACCATCTCTCCTCCTCTCTGCCTCCTCACTCCCACCATCCGGTCCAGGGCTGAGCTGTAGAAGGGTTTTGCTTGAAGGGGCTTCACATCTTCACACCTATAAAATCTCTCTCTGACGCATGACATTGTTTAAAAGCAGGTACGAGACGGAACCATTGTACGGAGGATTTCTTAGCATGGTCAGAGTGCAATGGCTTCATACTTTTCTGGGTTTTAAACACAACAGTTGCGCTTCTGGCTCCCTTCATCCTCCAACTAAACGCTGAATGAACCGTGTTGGTGACTGGGAGCTGCATGCAGTCACAGTCCTCTGTGAGAATGCCTTGTCTTCCTATTGACGGTGTGTGTGTACGTATGACAATACACACAAGTCCTGGTTTCTTGAGGCTCCGCCTATGTGCTTTCTGACATGTCAAGAAAACCTGGAACCGGCCACTTGTTTAGATTTAATGCTGCTCTCCTCCCCCTGCGCTGATGTGCATGCAAAAGAGCTTTGATAAAATCCCACCAGATGATTGCAGATCTAATGAGGGCAGTTCGTGCTGTAGGCTGCTCTAATTGATCATTATGGTGCGATAAGATAAGAATCGGTGTAGATGGATGCAGCAATCGAGTTTCCTCCTCCAGCCGTGAAGGTAATTCTTCATAGAGCCGGTGGCTCAAGCAGAAGAAGCCAGGAGACAAGGAAGGTTTGCTCCGAGCCAGCGGCTGCTCTTATTATTCTGTAGATCTCCAGAAGTCACCTGAGAATATAATGTTTGTTAATAAGTGCTAAGTGATAAGTGATAAATTTCCCATGAAAAAAAAACTGACGTTCAGAATTGAACTTGGTGATTTTCACAGCAAAGTGTTAAATGTGCATTTTATTGGAATAGACAGGCTTCACTGAACCTGCAGACGTATCGACAGGAGACGGGTGTGGAGACATCCTGTAGAGTCGTTATGGAAACAAGGGATGGGATGTGGGAGGGGCGGATGGTGTAAGATGATGAGTGTAGTGTTGTTGGGGGGGTGGGGGGTTTACTGAGCAGCTATGTCCATCTTGCTGTCCTTCCTTCTTTGTCTGTCTCTCATGTGGATGTATTTTTCCCTGTTTCTACCAAACTCCCTCTCTCTTGTCCTGTGTCTGTGTTTGTCGCTCTCTCTCTCTATCAATGTGTGTCTATGTCTCCTTCCCTACCTTCCTCCTCTTCCTCCTCTTGCTCCTCTTCCTCTGTCTCTGTCTCTGTTTCTCTTCCTGTCGCTGTCACTGACTCTCGCTGTCCCCACCTTCGTTGAAACTCGACAGGACCAGCACCCGGTAAAGTCTCATCCTCCTCTTCCTCCTCCTCCTCCTCCTCCTCCGCTCTGTCCCCTGCTCTTCATCACCGGGTCAAATTGGCTTCTCTCTCTTTCTTTCTTTGTTCTTCTGATCGTTCGTACTCATTCGCGCTGTAACATTTATACTGTTCATTTGTTTATTGTGACGAGCAGAACTCACTAAAATGTCCACTCTAGTAAAATATGAAACATTAACATCACAGTTATTATCAACCTCTCATATCCTGTAGGATTGACATGTGGCTGTAAATACTTTTTCTATAGATTGATTATATTTACAGATTCAACACTTTCTATCTCACCAAGATACGGCTTTAGGCTGTTATTCTTAAAAAAATAGTCTTAAGTCAGTCATTTAAAAAGTCTTGAATTCATTCATATATATTTGCAGGTAGGTCTTAGTTGCGTTCATAATTGGATGAGATGCTATAAAGATGAAGAGCATCGTTTTATTTCTAATTTGTTGTGAATAAAATACGCTGCAGGAGACGTTTCTGCCTTGAAAGTCACGTCTGTCGGAGTCTGAGGTTTCATCAGCTGCTGAGCTCCATGATGGAGAGAAAGATCGTTTACAGCCACGTTTATTCCTGCAGGTGCTGAGAGTCTGACACACACTGTGATTCTTCAGATTCAAATCACCATTCAGTCAAACGTGTTTTCAGACCACACGTCACACTCTCACACACACAGACACATGCTGGTGTGTGTGTGTGTGTGGTTGGGATGTCGTCAATTCCTAAACACCTATGGCCTCACTGGGCTTTACTCTAATACTCTCAGGCTGCTCTGATAGAGAGAACTCAGTTCTACTCAACTTCAGAGGAGGAGGGCCTATTGATTATCGATCGAGTCTGACTCCTGCACACACACACACACACACACACACACTCACACACACACACACACACACACACTGAGGCTCAGACTCAATCAATCAGCCTTGAATTGAATTATCTTAGGTTTTCTGCCACGGGAACTGAGTTCATAGTTAAAGAGCGAGCCTTGATGGACGACCTCTCTTCTTGGCAGCCGTCCACACGCCTCCTGCCTCCTTTTTTGTTTTGTTCTTTATTTTGAAAATGGCCCATCCACTTACAGTAAAGATCAGCTCGGCTATTAACTCCCCTGACACCCGATTCCTCCTCACTGATATTGGTTTATGTACAAATCCCAAGCACGATGTTCCGTTGTGTCCGTCGGCAAATTAAAACACACAAACACGCCGAAGACGTTTGTCAAATCGTTTCCTCCGGTCGCTCTCACGGCTCGTTTGACTCTGTTGTTGCTTGTGTGTCTTATGATGACATGTGATGTCTTGCTCTGTGAGTGACATCACATGTCCCCAGAGTCTCACATAGCCGCCGGTCCTGGCCAAAGAAAAGCACAATAACATTTTCCAGAAATTTGGGATGAGATGGAGAAGGGAGCTATGTGAAACGTATCAGAATCCATTCAGTGTGAACAGACTCAGGATTATTGTGACATAATCCGAACCATGTGATAACTTAACGTCATGTTTCCACTTGTAAAACATTTCCTCCGAAGATCCGAACAGCGTGTCACTGAAAAAGAAAGAAAGAGGTTTGGCTGGGCACTCTGCCGGGAGTTGCCTGTCGATATGGAATGAGTGAATGTCTCTTGTATGATGGTGAAGATTATGATAAATGATAAAATAGATGATGCTGCTTCTCGATGTCCATGAAACCAAACGGTCAGGAAACTGATCGCTCTTCACACGGTTTCATGTTTGACACACACGTGACGCAGTGTCTTTGTCCTGCAGGAGACTGTGAGAGCTTTGATTGTCCACACGAGTGAAATGTGCTGTTTTATACAAGATGTCACATCATGTGTTGTTTGACTGTCGAGTTAATGTTTGAGATGAATTCCAGGACATACCCTCACCCCACCTCACCCCCTTTTTATACATATGATAGTTGACCACAGGGTTGAGCCGATTGTTCCGTCTCCTCATTCCCCGGCTCCGCTCTCTGATTTCCCCTGACGCTGTTGTTGTTGTCCCCTGGCTGAACTCTAGGGGGAGCAGCAAGGGCAAAGACATCAGTACAATCAAATCCCTCCGAGTGCTGAGGGTGCTGCGTCCTCTAAAGACCATCAAGCGTCTCCCAAAGTTAAAGGTACGACTGAGGAAGTCAGATGGTACGTCTCTCAACCCTAAAGCCTAATTCATGCTTCTGAGCCGAAGCGACGCCAGAGACGTCGACCCTACACAGTCGCACGACGAGCCCTAAAAATCTAACTACGCATCGAGTTGCGGTTTGTCCACTTTGTAGCATCGCTTCTCTGACAGACTCGCCGCCATTTTTGAACTGAGTTGAAGGAACGAACACGGACAACGTCTTTCTTTTCTTCGTTGCTGATATTTAAGAAAAAAGAATTGTTCTTTAACATCTATCAGCTCCAACACGATCATTGAGAATCAGTCAATAACAGAAACCAGATGCCACAGCATAGAAACTCTACCGCCGCTGGTGTTTCCACGGTGTAATTGCGACTCACACACACCTACGCACAAATATAATGCTCGGCCCCGTGTATTGGCCATGTGCGCACTACGGGGTAGCTCTGCCACAGAAGCATGAATCAGCCTAACCCTAATTTTTAGGGGCTACAGGAATGTTCAGGGGACTGAGTCATAAACATTATTAATTATTATATTTATGTTCATCATTAGATAAGGTAAGATCATTCTTATCAGCCCAGGTTAAGAATAAATACATTTGACAAAAGAATAAAATAGAAATATGTAAGAACAGAAACAACAATATATTATATACAGTGCATGGTACATAATCCACAGAACAGCAATATGGGTCAACCGAAGATATCAAATATATATGATAAATATAATATGTACGGTATAATAAGTACAGTAAAATGTATAATGAAATATGGAGGACCAAGAGAAATACTGCTAATATTACTATTGATAATGAGGAATAACATCAGAAAACACCACAGCAGTGATTTATACACATGTTGCACTGAATAATAATAATAATAAATATAATACAATATTCAGCCAGGAAGTATAATTGGAAAATGTCTTCCCGTCAGGCCGTGTTTGACTGTGTGGTCAACTCCCTGAAGAACGTCCTGAACATCTTAATCGTCTACATGCTCTTCATGTTCATCTTCGCTGTGGTGGCTGTTCAGCTCTTCAAGGGTCGATTCTTCTTCTGCACGGACGAGTCCAAAGAGTTTGAGCGCGACTGCAGGTCAGTGCAACGCACGACTCGTTTGGCACAGAGCACCAACGATCAGCTGATGAGATAAACAGAAAATAAACTACAACAGTATTTTGATAATTCATTTATTGATTCATTTTTCAAGCCAAGAAAGTGAAACATGCGACAATTTCCTGCTTTTCTGTTTCATTTATGTTTGTAAACTTAATATTTCTGGATATTTAGACAATTAATTGTGACTATAAGATAAGTAGATCATTGAGGAATCAGAATATGAAAAAATATGAAAAAACTTACAGTAAAATAATAATTTTTCAATCGGTATTAAAGTTTATGATTTTGGTTCTGGAAGTATTGTCTGTTGTATATCAAAAGTAGCACCAACACCAGTAAAGATTAATTACATTTCCAAGTTTTCCAATTTTACCATATTTTATATTTTTGATATAAATTGCTCCAGATACTTAAAATTTAGAATTAAAAATAAAATAATGTCCAGAACCATAATGTTTTAGCATAGCTGCTTTATTTCTTCTTTATTGTAAATCATTCTTGTTCATTTCATGGCAGAGTCTTTGCAGCATGTGAGAACACTTTGTGATGTGATGTGGAAACTGAACTTTATTTAAAGAGATTTAAAAAAATACAGTCCTTCGATGATTGTGTCATGCTGCCACCTAGAGGACGAAATGAGAAGCAAACACTCTACAGCTCCAGCTCTGAACCTCTAACTCTGATTTACAAACAATTATAGAAATGTTTGTGATGTAGGATTTGCATCTTTTCTGCTTGCTTCACTTTTCTGATTTAAGTTTTTCATGATTGAAACTTGTTCCTCCAGGGGCGAGTACTTGGTGTATGAAAGGGATGAGGTTAAAGCTCAGAAGCGGGAGTGGAAGAAGTACGATTTCCACTACGACAATGTGGCTTGGGCCCTGCTCACCCTCTTCACTGTCTCGACTGGAGAGGGGTGGCCGCAGTGAGTAGACACACACACACACACACACACACACACACAGCTTTAAACAACAGCTGTAAACTGTAAAGTTATTAGGCGACGATGACGGTGTCAACATTTGTGAAAGCTGAAACAAACAGGCTTTAGGATGTTATAGTACAAAAACCTATTTATTCTAAATAATGTAAAATGATTTCAGAGTTTATTTGATTTGGTACTTATAACTGAAATAAGACAAAGGTTGTTTATTGTTTGATATCAACACAAAAAGGAGGTTTGTTAAAATCTAAGTAGAAGCGTTGATATATTTTGATTATAGTTTTATTCTAATGTGTTTAACGTACTTTTTGTCCCGTCTCTTCAGGGTGTTAAAACACTCAGTGGACTCCACATATGAGAATCAGGGCCCTAGCCCGGGTTACAGGATGGAAATGTCCATCTTTTACGTGGTGTACTTCGTTGTCTTCCCCTTCTTCTTCGTCAACATCTTCGTGGCTCTCATCATCATCACCTTCCAGGAACAGGGGGATAAGATGATGGAAGATTACAGCTTAGAAAAGAACGAGGTGAGGAATGAGGCCGCGGCTGTTTTCTGTGTTTGGTCTTTTGTCCTCCAACCCTCACACTCGTCTTCTCTCCCCGACAGAGAGCCTGTATAGATTTCGCCATAAACGCCAGGCCTCTAACTCGCCACATGCCCAAGAACAAACTGAGCTTCCAGTACCGCATGTGGCAGTTCGTGGTGTCTCCGCCCTTCGAGTACAGCATCATGGCTCTGATCGCGCTCAACACCATCGTCCTCATGATGAAGGTACAAGTTTGATATGTGATGTTGATATTGTGTATTCTGAGCTCAACACCTGGGTTCCAGAAGATTAGCGTCTGTTGAGTGTTGTAAAAACCTGCTTGAATCTAACTTCGGTTGTCTCATCGCCTCTCTGCCTTTGTTTTGTGCGTCTACAGTTCGACGGAGCGTCAAAAACCTACGATGACGTCCTCAAGAACCTCAACATCGTGTTCACCACCTTCTTCTTCATGGAGTCGGTCCTCAAGATCATCGCTTTTGGCCCTCTGGTAAAAACCACGAGCATGCAGCAGCGACACACACATTCCCTCAGTGGGTCGGCCCAGTCTATATGCTTCGTGTGTTTCTTCCCATTATTCATTTATAAAGCGGGTTATTTTGGTAGACAGATCTAGAGCGTGTTCTTCCTGTCCCTGAACAACCCAGAACGTGTTGCTGCACAGCGTGTCACGCTATCAGCCTCCTTCCAGCCTGTCTCCATGGTAACAACACCATCATTGGTCTGGGTCGCGTCCCTCGCCGGCCCCTGGATTCAGTTTGGGGACGGGTCCAGTTTGACGACCTGTAGCATCTCCCTCGTCTTCTCACTCATCTCAAACTTTTCTCTCTCTCTCCCAACAGAATTACTTCAGAGATGCCTGGAACATTTTTGATTTTGTGTCCGTCCTTGGAAGCATCACCGACATATTAGTGACAGAACTAGGGGTAAGTGCTTCTGGGTGTTTGGACCAAGTGACACACGTCGCTTGCAGCCTAAGACAAGTTGATGTGTTTAATAAGACGCTGGTTTGGTGGACTCAAAGGAAACATCAGCCTTGTTGTCAGTGTCGACACCAGTGTTTTGATAGATCTTTGCTTTGGTTGAAAATTTTCCAACTGCAGATTCAATAAATACCCTAAAGCCATCAGGGCTGATTTTTCTTTTAAGTCATATTGACTTAAAAAAACCCAGAGTCCATCACATCTTGTAGACACACACACACTCAGAGGTGCTGTTGAAAAGGAAAGACCTGCAGGGGGAAACATCTCGTCTGGCTTCGAGGTAACAACATGAAATGGTACAGTGACCCCCTGTGGTGTCCGCTGGTTGTTCAGCCTCTCTTGCCCAAAAGATAGTCCTGCAAAAAACCACAATTTGCCAATTTTGCACTTTGACTTAATTTCCTGAGTCCAGACTGAGCCAGACTCGCTGTTTCCAAGCTTAGTTAATTGCACCGTACAATATGAGCTGTGTGCGTCTTTTGGGTGTTTGCACATTATTCCGTGGAGGTTTTTGTTCTAAAAAAAATAAAAATAAATTCCACCACAAATTCTTGAAAATTCTCTGTGGATTGCTGGATTGGTGTGAAACGTTCCTTCAACCCCATAAATTTCCACGTTGAAATTAAAGCACCTCCAGTTGAGTCCAATAGAGCGACAACAACAAAGTAGAACCGGTTTCACGGTAAACCTTGGTAACATTCCCGACGGTTATTTGTTCCATTTAATCTTTAATTTCCATAAATACTGTGATGATTTGATACTGTCCAGTTTCACCGGCTGTAACAGCAGCAGACAACTGTCAATATAAAAGTTGGTGAATTAGCTTACAGCACATTTTAACAACACTGAGATAATACTGATAACCGTGATAGCTTTGGCTGCTATAATCGTGATATAACCTTTTTCATCTCTACTTGTGGTTCAGAGGTTCTGGGGTTGAAAGGTTGTTTGTACCAATCACAGGTTTTACCTTTAAATGTACAAACACACTGGTTCATTGTGTTTTTACTGTTGTTATACATATCTATATCTATATATATATGTGTGTGTGTGTTTGTTTCATTTCATACACATGAGATGAATGTAATCACTGAAATAAGAATCAGTATAATTCAGTAGGGATGTCAGCCCCTCTCTGTTGTCCAGCTTTCATTCTTTGACCTTTAAACCAAATAGTGATCTGAGCCACACATGACTTCCACTTATTAAACCTCTCTGACCGGCAGGATGAGCTGTAACTGTGCTAATCACTGTGTTTTCAGAGGATTAGCGACAGCCTCCGGCCACTTCAGAAGGAGCTGAATTAGCATCTTAGCTCTGTGACATTAACTGACATGTTAGTCAGCTGATTGTTTCAGACATCCAATCGATTATCTGTCTGCTCATTGTCGGCAGGCAGCGGTGAACCTGCTGCTTCAGTACATTTGCACTAAGTTCACCACAAAAACTATTGTTGACAAGAACAGATCGCTCGGTTGCATAGTAGACTTTTCAGAACCGGTACCTTCCTGATAAAACTCGTCTCGTTGAATCGTCTCTGACTGACAGCGGAGAGAGAGCCAACAAATCAGATAATGCAAAAAAAAAAAGGCTCTGCTCGCTTCAGTCCAGTTTAAGCATTTAGTGATTCAAATTTGTGTCTCCAGCTCATCCACACAGGCGTCTGCCACCAAAACCTCTGGAATCTCCTCGTCTTTCGTCTTCGGCTCCTCTTCTTCATCCTGAGATATTTGTATTCATCCAGTTTGCGCGTTAGAAACGTCATCAACACGCCCACGAGCACGGGCAGGAAGAACTTTAATCTGAATGTCTGCAGCAACTCGCTCGGACACGTTCATACATACTGTATATCTGAAAGCAGACGGAGCGTGAACTCGTGTTCCACAATTCTAAAATACCTCAGGATAAAGAAAGAAATCAAGACATTACAGTGACAACATAAATGTGTATTATTTGAAGCTAAGTCTTGCACAAACGATATAAATGCTTAATTACGGAACGGTTCATGTTGTCACTTGAAATACGTATGAATTAAATCTTGTTCTGTACGGTGAACAGAACCTCCCCATGGATCTCTAATAGCAGATCTAAATTCTGATCATTTGTATGCAGGCGTCACAGAGGGGCTGAACCACCTGATGTTACTCACTAACTGTTGTTGTTATTGTTGTTGTTGACTCAAGTTGTGTTTCACTGCCTTTTATAACGACGCCCATAATGATTCCGTCTTCCTCTTCTATCTCTTTACATGCTTTCTTTAAACCTCTCTACTTTGTTGGCCCCTCCCCCTCCTCCTCCTCCTCTTCCTTCTCCTCCTCCTCTGATAAAATCCATCCAATCAAAATGCACTATGAAATCCTTCATCGTGTTCTCTCCATCCGTGCTGCGCCATGACATGTGGTGGTGGTGCTGTGATGATGATGATGATGATGATGATGATGAATATAACGATGGTGATGGTGTGCGTTTTGCCCCCCCCGCCCAATAAAACACCAAATCTCACCCCCTCCAAAAAAAAAATGTCTCACCCTCTCACAACGTGCTACAACTTACCACAAAAAAACCCACTTCCTCCCCATTCATCCTTCTACATCTTCGCACATGTAGAATCTGGTTGGTTTGTAATTTATCTCTCAAAGCTTTATGCTGCATCCTCATTGGTCATGTGTAACCCCTCCCCCTCCCCAAACCCCCCAATCACCCGCTCCCCCAGATCTTAACCTTTGACCCCAGTGCATGCGCTTCTCTGGATGACGACCTTTAAAACAAGTTCATTACTGACGTGTTAACAGAACAATCATATGTTTGGATTCATATTTAGGTCCCTGGGAAATTAGAATATCATTCATTTATTTCAAGCAGAGTAAAAATATTTCATTTATTCGTGTTTTCCTGGACACAGTAATTCCTCCAAAAAATGTCAGAGGTCTGTACCACGAAGCAGGATTTGTTGTTATCGTGGTAACTTCAGGTTTAACTCTGAGTTTTTAGCTCTGCGGAGCTTGTTAAATCACCATGGTAACTTATTCTGAAGTTATGTAAACCAGTCGTCGGTCTACAGGATCCTGACAGGCTCAACAATAAAAGTCATCAGATATTTTTATAAACAAGTGGAATAGTTTTACTGTTTATAGACTTTTCATGTGTCCAGTTTTAAAACTGACTTTCTAACAAACGGAGGGAACGTTTATCACAATGTTTTAATGCATCCTAACTATTATAGCTTAATTTGAATTCAACCAAGGTATTTTGATTTTGAAAGCGGATTCAAAATAAAATGTCTCACACTCTTAGTGCAACTAAATAAGTGAATGTGTGAATCAGAGTTTATGATTTGTGCTCGGCACCCACCGCCCCCTGCTGGTCTGCATGTAGGCCGGTTCTTTCTATGAAGAAAGTATGCTGCCATGCCAATCCAAGCCATGCCAAGCCATGCCAAGTCAAGCCATGCCATGCCTGCACTGAGGCTGATTGCTACTTCCTCCTTTTTCCTTTCCCTCCTCTTCCTCCTCATGCTCCTCTACCCGCCTTGCCTGTCAACCAAAAAACACCAGGTTCTCACCAGGGAGTTTGGCTGTTAAAAATTCTTTCCAAAATGTTTTTTACTAGGCTATCAAACTGGATTCCAGCTCCAAGAACCAAATATTTAGATTTTAAGTGTGACCTGGTTTTATCCTTGTAACATGACGGTAGTTGAAAGTAACACTCAAAATATAAGACACACATATACTGTACATCATTTTTCATACAGTACAGGAATCAGAACCGTGGACATCATTGATTCCCGTAGCTGAATCCCAGTTTGACAAATATTTTAAACAATATTTGGAAGAATCATAATTGAAACGAGACCCCAAGCCATGCTCTTATTTTCAAAAGAACATCTGTGTGCGTGTGTGTGTGCGTGTGTGTGTGTGTGTGTGTGTGGTTGACAGGCACAGTGCACCGTGCTCCATCTTGTGTGGCCTGCTTGCCCCCCCCCCTCAGAGATCAGTGCATTTGGTTCTCTTAAAGAAGCGTTCTGCTGTACCAGATTGGATGACGACCTTTAGACTCTTTGACTTATAATTTTCCTGATTTCCTTCTTCTTTCTTTTTCTTTGTCTTTTGACCTTTTTCTCTCATTTATACTTGTATCTTCTCCTCAGTGTCATTATGTTTCAAGTTGTGCTTTATTTGGTTTTGGCTCCCTCCCCCCTCTCTCTCTCTCTCTCTCTCTCTCCCCTCTCTCTCTGTCTCTCTCTCTCTCTGTCTGTCCTCTCCTTCCTCCGCTGTTGTTTTTGGATTTTGTGTTTAGCAGAGGGAGGTTGTGCAGGTTTGTTGTTTTTCCTGAAACTGATTTTTATCCCTTGGTCTCTGCTGTAGAATAATTTCATCAACCTGAGCTTCCTGAGGCTGTTCAGGGCGGCTCGCCTCATCAAGCTGCTGCGACAGGGAGAAACCATTCGCATCCTGCTGTGGACCTTTGTCCAGTCCTTCAAGGTCTCCACATGCTAACACCACGGACATACACACGTTACATCACAGCTCACTTCACGACTCTGACGAACGTTTCTTCTTCTTCTGCTCTGCTAGGCTCTGCCGTATGTGTGTCTGCTCATCGCCATGCTCTTCTTCATCTACGCCATTATCGGCATGCAGGTGAGCTCCGACAACCGGCCCAGGGTGGATTTTTATTCCTCCAGCCTTGTTTTTTCAGGAACGCTTTGTCACTGTATTTTGAAAAGTGCAGGAGCCTATAAATAAAGTTTATAATTATTGGTTTGTTATTAACGTAAAGGTGCGTGTGTGTGTGTGTGTGTAGTTGTTTGGTAACCTGGCGCTCGATGAGGAGGATGAAAGTGCCATCAATGAGCACAATAACTTCAGAACCTTCATCATGGCCCTCATGCTGCTGTTCAGGTGAATCCTCCCACTTCTCCTTCTGTCTCTCACTTTATAATCTGTCTTCATGCTTTTTTTTCATTGACCTCTCTGCGTGTTCCCCTCGTGCAGGAGTGCTACCGGCGAGGCGTGGCACGATATCATGCTGGCCTGTCTGGGTGATAAAGAGTGCGACCCGGCCTCAGGAAACACGGAGCCAGAGTGTGGCAGCACCTTCGCCTACACCTACTTTGTCTCCTTCATCTTCCTCTGCTCTTTCCTGGTGAGAAAAACACACAGAAAAGTTTCAACCAGTTTTAAAAAAAAAACAGACTTTAAACCCAGACACACATGAAATCCTCTAGTTAATAATAATAATTTCTTTCCCTTCTCCTTGTACTGCGTATAAAAATGGATGTTGACTCTAAATCCTGAAAGCCAATGTGGAAGTGAAACCTGTATTCTCTCAAATGACCAGCAGAGGACGAAATCCATGGTCTTTGATTTTCACGGGTGTTTCATTGTTTTAAACTTGTCTTTGTTCCAGATGCTGAATCTGTTCGTGGCTGTGATCATGGACAACTTTGAGTACCTGACCAGAGACTCGTCCATCCTGGGGCCGCATCACCTGGACGAGTACGTAAGGATATGGGCCGAGTACGACCCTGCCGCCTGGTGAGTAGCGAGCACGCACGCATACACACGCTCTCATTTACACACACACACACGCTTTAGAAGTCACGCAGAACAACACAAAGGCAGAAAAAGCACGTGAAGCAGCAAGTACACAGATTATATAGACGAAGACATAAGATTTATCTACAGACTTTTGGACACTTTCATGCTGAACGTATCGTAACTCTTAACCCTTGACTTTCTCTCCCGTCCTGAAAACGGGACAAAGCCGGGCGTCACGATGGAACAGGAAGTGCATCATGTGGTGACAGAATTTAAAAAGCTGGCCGGTTAAAACTGACCAATCTGAGAGAAAAGAATGATCCAACTTTCTCTCTTTCTTTCTCGCTCTATGAACGTTCTTTCTACAGTTGCACTCTCCGTGCACAGTTGAGATGAATGTAACCCTCTTCCTCTTATCCCCCTCTCTGAGGAGTGTGTGTGTGTGACTCAGCATGCATCTTCTTTTTCTTAGTGTAAAACAAATGTACTCTCCTTTTCTACCTTTCTCTCTCTCTCTCTCTCTCTCTCTCTCTCTCTCTCTCTCTCTCTCTCTCTCTCTCTGACCTGTGTGTTCCCTCTCCTAACCTTCCCTCCTTGTATTTTTCTTGCAGCGGGCGCATACATTATAAGGATATGTACAGTTTATTGCGAGTTATCTCCCCTCCCCTGGGCCTTGGCAAGAAATGCCCACATAGGGTGGCCTGCAAGGTTTGGACCAAACCCCTAAAGCACAAACTTTAACACAACCTGCTCGCCTTTAAGAGACTGGAATGAATGTCGCTCTTTATCACTTTTAGAACAAATTCTCTCCTACTTCAAACTTCATTTGGTTTGTTTCTGTTTGGGTTTGCATTATCCAGTTGTTTTAATCTCATTTCACCATTGAATCATTTAGTTTTCTTCGGGGAGGGGTTTTTTGTTGTATTTGCATTCTGACATGACAATGAGAATGTTTGGGACAATGCAGAAATGCACACACACACAATCTTGAACACACACACACACACTGGTAGTGGTGTGTGAAGCATGAAGTGGTGCACTGCACTCGCTGCTGTCTCCTGACTGAACGCTGGGGAAGTTACACTGGTATTTTCACTTTTAATTCACTACGATGTTAACGCCAGAGTCTGGACTTTTATTTCTGCTTGCTTTCTAATTCCAGCAGTGTGCATCGTTCTTGTTTGGGTTTGGGTGAGGGGTGGGGTCACATTAGCAGAGAGACAAACGCTGTGAGGGCTCGGTCAGAAACCCGTCATGTGTCTTCGAGGCTTTAGAGTCTGCAGACTTTGACCGACAATATTTCACACAGGATAAATATTGTGTGCACACAAGTTAATTTCATAAAAATTCATATACGTCTCTGACGACTTCAGATGGAGAGAAATCAAGTTTTATTTTCAACACATAATAAATTCTTGCTGCTCCTGCACGGAGACACCCGATTGTCCTGAGCAGGAATCATTTGCTGCACATACGTTAACTGGTTCTCCGTGGTAATTATCAAATTATCAAATATATATCTGTTCCACAAAAGATATTTATCCTGTGAGTTAATATGATAAATGAATGTCACCTGTTGGGACATTAAGGGTTTCCATGGTGCATGTGTGTGAAGATTTAATTTAGTTTTCACAACTGATGATAAATCTTATTCCATAGAAAGGTAAAACATTCCCTGCTGAATAGAAATGTTCCTGAATATCCACAGCTTTTTTTTTAATCCTGCGCATTTTGACTTTAAGAATTCAAATAATTTCTTAGGCCCATTACAAGCTCTTCATAAAGAATTCACACAACAATCCACAACAAAACGTGTCCGAAGTCTTTAATTTGCAAGACGTCAAGATCCTAAAACAGACGACAACTATAAATGACTGAGATATAAAAATGTGCTTCTTGAATACTGTATCGTAGAATCACACCATCCTCAGCCATTTTTTTAAGTAAATAATGCAGTTCTGCTTTACATTGACATTTTTTTTCCTGTGTGCATTCGTTATGAGGCAGAGAGCTTGTGTTGTGTTGACAAACCTTTAGTGGAAAACAGGCTTTAACGTCACAGTTTAACCGAATAACTACAATAACGATACAGGCAGACAGGCTCTGTTTGTGACTCTGAGGAAATTAAAGGGTAGTGTGTGTATGTGTGTGCGTGAGTGCGTGTGTGTGTGTGTGTGTGTGTGTGTGTGGTTTGAGTCAGGGGCTCTGGACATATAAAGGTCTTGTGTCCACCAGGTTCTGTTCCTCTGTGTTGACAGATGCTCGTGGGAAGAATCATTGATCATCACATCTGCGTTTGTAAAGATCTTTTTTAAGCTGCTGCAGGTTTTGATTTCAGGAAAAGAAAATGTTAAAGGTTCAGATCATCTACATCACAATTCAATCAACACACACACACACACACACACACACACAGACACGTCTTTGGACTGTGGGAGGAAGCCGGACAAACTCCACAGAGAAAGACCCTGGCCGAGCCGGGAATCAGACCTTCAGGTGACAGTGCTAACCGCTGCACCTCTGAGTCATATCACAGCTCGAAACCATCACACCGGCCTTTTTCTGTGACGTGGATGAACCGAACCGTCTAAAAGCCAAAACCTACGGTAGCTGTTGGGGAGCCAGTATCAGTGAGGTCTCCCATGAACATCTGGACAGCTGTGAGCAGAGGTTCCTGGTGGACACGCAGCCTCAGTAACTGACTGCATTGACTCATCACTGTGACTCACTCCGATCTCTGCAGCGATGCTTTTCTTTGCCTGCTAGAAGCTCCGCTGTCACTTCTATACGAGCGGCGAAAGAGGGCAAAGACCAAAAAACAACAGACGAACAAATCCCCTTTTCACCTCGCATAGAACGTTATCTGAGCAACTAACTAAACTAAATAACACCTCCTCCTCCTCCAGCCCTCCCCTTCTCCCACAACCTCTCTCCCCCTCTCCCTCCCTCTCCTCTCCGGTACTTTATGACACACCAGAGTAGAAGCCATGAAACACACACACACCCCCTCGTTCTCTCTCTTTCTCTCTGTCTCTCACCACAGCAACCACATGTCCACAGCGATCAAAACAATAACCTCTGTGTATTTGTTCCCTCCCCCTCTTCCTTTCCTTTGTCACTTTCTTTCTTTTTTCCTCCTCGTGTCCCCCCCCCCCGTAACACACCTCTGTGCGTCTGCGTCCTCCCTCTCCCTGGACCCTCACTGTTTTTCCTTTCTTTCGTTGTCACGTCGTCCGTCTACGTTTGTTCTGTCTGGTGTGTGTGTGTGTGTGTTTG